GGCACATGACATGTTTCCAGCCATTAGCACTTTCCTACTCCAACAAAAAGCAAACTGAAGCGCCATGTTCAAGAAGTGCTAGAAAAACTTCAAATAACAAAATATTTGCTTCACATGCTACATCCGCACACTTCGGACACCGAAACACGGAAAGATTAAACAAAAAAAAAACGTTACCAAAAGACACGTTTGATTCTTCCAGAAGAAGAGCAGAAAGACACAGCCAACAAAACAACTGTTTGGACTTCGTCTGGAACTGGTTTCTTTCTCTGGTTTGCAAACTAAAACATGACTTTTCTAAACCTGACTTTTACACGCTTCGGCAGATTCTTTTGTATTTCGGGTACACTACGCACACCGAAACACGGCTAGATTTCAGCAACATCCGTTAATGGGCGCCCACTTGACCAAACTGCATCATGAACATTTGAAAGTTCAATCAGGAAAGTAAGGTTGCCCCATACAACTCATTCCCTCATTCCCGACTGAGCATCAGCAAGAAAAGGTATTTTAGGGTTTAGGGCTTAGGGTGTGAGGTTTAGCTCAGATACTAAACGGTACTTTTCTTTGGAAAACACGGTTTCAACAAGACCCAAATCACGGCCACTCCAGCAGAATCCTGAACATTGAACCCAAGCCCTAAACTTATACTACCCCAATCCCGAAACCTTGAGCCCTATATCCCAAAACTCCAAAGGCCCTAAACCCCGTGTACAAGGACGTGGAAGACTAAGCGAACCCTGAACCCTGGAACCCTAAACCCTCGAACCCTGAACCCTAAACTCCTGAACTTCAAACTCGGAGGATGACAAGGACAGCCAAAACGTGGAGGACCCCTACACCCCCAGAACCCTAAACTTCTTCAACCCAAAATCCTTACACAACCTGTAAAGCCCCTGAACCCTTACACCCTAAACCCCCTAAGCCCTAAACCACAAACACGTCTCACACAATTTCAACTCTGATGGTTACACTACCTAAACCCTAAACCCTAAACCCTAAACCCTAAGCCCTAAACCCTAAACCCAAAACCCCAAACCCTAAACCCCAAACCCTAAACCCTAAACCCCAAACCCTACGACCTGGCCTTGGCCTCCTTGTTGTAGATGACGGCCCCCATGTGGATCACTCCATCCTCTTCAGAGCTGAAGCCCATCATTATTGGTTTAGGGTTTTTTGGGTTTAGGGTTTAGGGTTTAGGGTTTAGGTCTAGGGTGTAAAGTTTAGGGTTAAGGGTTTAAAGTTTAGGGCTTAGGGTTTAAAGTTTAGGGTTTAGGGTTTAGGGTTTAGTAGTAGCAATATGATCATGATAATGCAAATGACTGTTCTATTGGTTATCATTATGCTTACTACTACCGTTACTATCAAAATTCTTATTAGTTCTATTACTGTTGTTATTGGGTATATTAATCTTTGTGCTAGATCATTATTGATCGTATTATGACTATTAGTATTTTTATACATATATATATATATATAGTAACACGAAAATGGTTATTATTATTATTATTGCTACTGCTGTTTGGGGTTTCTTATGCTATCCCTTGCAGTTCCTCCAGCCCTCTGCAGTTTAATGGGGCTTGTTGCCGGGCTGTGAGACTTTAGGACTGTTGCTAACTGGAGCTCCCCGTTTCGCCTTCCCCTGACGCGAAGAAGTCAATCCGCAAACTTCAACCAGGGCGTAGGGCTTAGGGTTTAGGGCTTTGGGTTAAGGGTGTAGGGTTTATGAAGAAGATAGCGAGACAGTCTTTACGAGCTGTCCCCATGCTCTACTCTGACAAATTCTGGGCCCAAACCGCGCTCATGCACAGCTCTGGGCGTTGGTTGCCGTGAATGTCAACGACGGTGTCTGTGTTAGCAATACTTGCAGTCACGCCCTGAGGTTTGGGGTGTAAGATAAAGGGGTTTAAGGACTCACTTAGACACACACCCCGCGCCACGCATTCTAGAGTGAATCAGGCTTTGGCTGAATGGATGGCTTGCTATTCCTGTCAGCCCAATCTCAGACAGGGCAGCGTTGAACAGCCACAGATTACGGGGCTTGCAGAAGCCGCCCTGAAACCAAACTGGATAGAGACTGCACAGTCTATGCACCCGACATAGAGACATGCATACTTTACCTACAGTCTCCATTGTGGTTCCTTTTGGGGGTTGCCTTGTTGGATCCTAAATGTAAAGCTGGTTAAGCCAACAAAAAGACTACCATGGAGACAAAAGGTAGGGTCTGAGAAGTCAGCACCCCCAGACTTCTCCTTAGCAGGCCTGGCCCTGCTTGCTCATTACCTATAGTCTCCATTGTAGTTCCTTTTTTGGTTTAACCAGTTATATTTTAAGAATTTTATCAGGTATCTCCAAAAAAGAACTTCAATGGAGACTATAGGTACTGCTGTGACTGTGGCTGGCTTCCGGTTTATCATTACTATGGCCGTTTAATATCGCTGGAATGATCGTTCAGTGTATGGCAGTATGTCTATGCTTTGCTTGTGTAATCTTATGCCATAAACGATTCATGACTCCCTAAACCCTAAACCTTAAACCCTAAAGCCTAAACCCTCACTGTATTTGCCATGACCTAAGCCAGAGGCGGAAAGCAATGCAAGGCCGAAAGCCAGAGGCCCTCCCGCTCCCCCCAAAAACCCAAAATCCTGAACCCTACCAGTTGCCTATAGTCTCCATTGTAGTTCCTTTTTTTTGGTTTAACCAATTATATATGAAGGATTTTAGAAAAGATCCCCCAAAAAAGAACTACATTGGAGACTATAGGTAGTAATAAAACCCACAAAAGCCCGAACTCCCGAACCCTACGAGTCACTAAACCCACAAAACCCGGTTTCCGGAACCCTACTAGTAACTAAACCCGCAGAAGTACGTAAAATAATTGCCCCAACACGGAAAAAAAGGCCATGATTATACATACACTTTTCGGGTAAAGGTAACCACTAAACCCAAACCCCTAAACCCGAAACCCTAAACCCGAAACCCTAAAACCTAAAACCTAAACCCTAAAACCTAAACCCTACACCCTACCCCGCCCGCTCGAGCAGGCCTGGGGCTCGATCTTTAGAACCGGACTCACTCCTTTGCCTCTCAGAGGCACCTGGACGTCCGTTTTTTCGGTCGGGGCCCTAAACCCTAAACCCTGAACCCCATACCTTTAACCCTAAACCCTAAACCCTAAACCCTAAACCCTAAACCCTAAACCCAAACCCTAAACCCTAAACCCTTCAGGGCTTAGGGTTGAAGGTTCAGGGTCGAGGGTCTGAGGGTTTTGGACCCTTTGGGTTAGGTTAAGGGTCTTAGGATCAGTTGCGACATCCGTGAGTAATGAGGATCGAGGTGTATATAGGCAGCATAGTTGTGGCCACGGGAATTCGGAATTAGGATCTATAGACCCTAAACCCTGAGCCCATATGTCTCAATGTCAGGGTTGGCAATCCGCAGCACTTGGGAAACTTCACCGGTCACCAACACCAACCGTGCCAGTCCCAACAATACAGTTTTAGGGCTTCTGAACTCAATAGCGTGCCGAAGCAGCACCCAAACAAACAAAGTTAGGGTCCCTTTTCAGGTCTTTACTTTACTGGCGCGGCAATATTTTGGGGGGACCTTAAAACGGGATCCTAATTTAGAGAGCTACCCATAAGGTTGGGGTGCCCCATCATCCTCTCTGTAAGGAAGGCCAACAGGTAGAGATCCTGACTCAAGGGGTGTACTGAATGCTGCGGTCGATGCATGCATCGAATGTTGGAGCGTGTTGGGTTGCAACGGGAGTCGAGTAGCGGCTTACCAAAGGAAACTCAATAGCTAGGCTCAGGGTGCAAACTGAGTTTGCGCGCTGAGTGCATCCGGATCGTGGCTGAAAGACTGTTACTTCTGCTATGACCTTCTGCACCAACACGAAAATTCGCTGAACTCGTCTGGCCTCCGAACATTACTGTACAGCAGGAACCATCCCCCTGCTGCTCCTCCACGGCATCTTAGGGCGCAGGGTCTCAACGCCCTGCACCCGGACCTAAACAAACGTAGTACATGACATTCCTCCGCTGCCAAGGCAGTGTTCAATGCACCTTCCTGGTCTTTGTATCCTCCACCCAAAGGCGTCATGCTGGTAGATCGAACTTGTCCTCCTAAACTTCAGCCCTGAACCGGTGGATTCTCACCAAGTCTTATCATCCACTCTTTCAAAGGAAAGTACAGGTGGGGAGTTTAGGGTATATAGGGCTTCTATGACGCTTCCATAAGGTATATAGACCTTCTATAAGGCCTGGTTTGTTTCAGCACTCTCAGACTCGCTGTATGGATAACCCAATGCCTATAAGCCATATAAGGCCCTATAACTCTATGAAACTCTACACCCCTAACCCTACACTCCTCGTATCTGCTCTCTGAAAACCTCTATGAAACTCTACACCCCTAACCCTACACTCCTCGTATCTAAAAACCTCTACGAAACTCTACACCCCTAACCCTACACTCCCCGTATCTGCTCTCTGAAGACCTCTATGAAACTCTACACTACACCCCTAACCCTACACTCCTCGTTGCTGCTCCCTAAAGACCCCCATCCAACCTGGAAGTCCGAAGAGAGCTCAAAGCCCCAAGCACTAGGTCGAACACGAAGAAAATGCCAAGGCAATAATAATGAGAACAATACGAATACTAACAATACGGCGGCTAACAATACCAGTCATAATGAGCATAATCAAGAATAGGGATCTGGGGTCTGGGGTAGCTTGTAGAGACTCTGAATACTATGTCTGCAGTTATTCGGACCCCGTTATTAACGAGAAGAACACTGGGTTGGGCTTTAGGATCTAGCGATTGTATAATCAATGAGCCCGAATCATAGTAGGTAAGCGACTACAGCAAAGCAAGGAAGCCCCTGTGCCCAGGCAATAACACATACTCAGTTATCTAAATGATGGTCCCTTGTTAGGTCCCCAATATAGTACGGCACCCTTACAAAAAGGCACCCTAAAAGGGACCCCTAATTTAGAGAACTACCCACATGGGAGTTTCCGGGGTCCTTATAACAAGCATCCTACTATTTAGGGTACTATATTAGGGTCCCCTATTTTCGGAAAGCCCCACATACTCCTCCCCCCACTAGCCTTGAAGCTTCTCTCTGGCCTGGAAGAGCCCTAAACCTTAAACCCTGAACCCTAAACAATGAACCTTAAGCTCTGAACCCTAAACAACGAACCTTAAACCCTGAACCCTGAAACCTGAACCCATAAACCCTGAACCCCACACCCTGAACCCTTAAGCCCTGAACTCCAAACCCTGAGCCCCAAAACCTGAACTCCAAACCCTGAGCCCCAAACCCTGAACTCCAAACCCTGAGCCCCAAAACCCTGAACTCCAAACCCTGAGCCCCAAACCCTGAACTCCAAACCCTGAGCCCCAAACCCTGAACTCCAAGCCCTGAGCCCAAAACCCTGAACTCCAAACCCTGAGCCCAAACCCTGAACTCCAAACCCTGAGCCCCAAACCCTGAACTCCAAGCCCTGAGCCCAAAACCCTGAACTCCAAACCCTGAGCCCCAAACCCTGAACTCCAAACCCTGAGCCCCAAAACCCTGAACTCAAAACCCTGAGCCCCCCTGAGCCCAAAGCCCTGAACCTTAACCCTTCCAGCCCGAACCCCGGCCTGAACGCGGGTGTTTTGTGTCCGCATCTGCAGTGAGCACTGGTAGATCTGGACCAGCTGGGGCTTGAATTCCACCATGAACCTTGGGAAGGCTCTGAGGATATGGTAGGGTTTCCGAAAAGGGTTTAGGGTTAAGGGTTTATTTAGGGTTTAAGGCTTTGGGTTTAGGGTTTAGGGTGTAGGGTTTAGGGTTTAGGGTTTAGGGTTTAGGGACGGCTCCCAGGATATGGTAGGGTTTCCGAAAAACTGGGACCATAGTATAGTACCCTAAATAGTAGGATCCTCATTATCAGGACCCCAAAACAAGGTACCCCTAATTTTCGGAAACTCTCATATTGTAGGGTTTAAGAGTTGTGAACAGAGTTATGGTTGACTCAGGGTATGAGAGGATTTAACTAGGGCTTACAGGATTCCTATGCCCTAAACCACGCAAGCCCCTGGCCACGCTGTGGAGCACCTGTCGCTGGCTCCGGGGATGCAGCGTTAGGTATGGCAGGGGCACGATACACGTTGTTGTAGGAATCAAGAGGTTTCGGGTTTGGGGTTTAGGGATCAAGGATAGCTACAGCTTTCGCTTGTGCTCACGACCAGCAACTCAGCACCCCGAATCCTAAACAGATACCACAAAGTATAACAACTTGTAAGTGCGAGTACAAATACATAAACATCCAAGCAACTAAACCATAAACGCTAAACCCTAAACACCCAAAGAAGACCACGAATAGCTTTGGCCAGGGGGCTGGAAAGGCTTGGATCCCACCGCGCGGGGAGCGTTCCTCGATTCGGGCCGGGGTGCTGTGGAACATGGGGACAAAACCTAAACCCTAAACCCCAAACCCCAAACCCCAAAACCCAAAACCCAAAACCTGAACTCGGCACCACAAACAGGACAGAAGCCTACCTGGACCCCAAATGTACGTAGAATACGGGCCTTTTGTAGGCGCCGGGCAATTTTCGTACCTATTCCTTGTTTTTTTTCGAGGAGGGAGGGGGGGACCACCTTACACCCGGACTAAAGTCACCCTAAACCCTAAACCCTAAACCCTAAACCCTAAACCCTAAACCCTAAACCCTAAAGTTCAAAATCGAACTCCGAAACTCGACGTCTAAACGAAGTGTGGGCTCCATGGTAGTTCCTTTTTGCGGCTTAACCCATTTTATAAGGTAGCCCCAAAAAAGGAACTACAACGGAGACGATAGGTAGACCCCAGTTTCGGGCTAGTCGGAGTAAGGGGCCTTAAGCATACAATTTGTATACTTATATATGCGCGACTTATAATAATAAGAGCAACCCACAGGAAAAGACCGTTGGTAATGACATTCCGTGTATGCACGTATAGCATACTCTGTATAACACAAAAACCCACAATTCTCAAAAACCCAGGCCCCATGGCAGGCCGATCTACAGAAGATTAAGGGCACAGTGGATCGTGGTTTAGGGTTTAGGGTTTAGGGTCCAGACTAGGACGACCATAGCCCTTTCGATTTCACGTGTGGGGTTTTGGGTTGAGGGGTTTTAGGATGCCATGCAGTAAAGGCATGAGCATTTCCACACAACGAGTAGTCCAAAGCTCTAATACTCACTGACACTTAATACGACCCCGGCTTCGGTAAACCCCAAACCCTTAAACTCTAAATCCCAAACCCTAAGCCCTAAACCCCAAACCCTTAAACCCTAAATCCCAGTAACCCCCGAACCATGGGAGGAGCCGCGTGGCAGGACGGTAAAGCCTTGATTCTCTGGGAGGGCTTCCAACTGAAGTTCCTGAAGCACGAGCTATGGTTTAGGGCCTTTAGGGGGTTTGGGTTTTAGGAGTTTAGGGTTTAGGGTATAGGGTTTAGGGTTTGGTGCTGAAGGGTTGTATGTTTCTGGATGAGAACAGACACATCGGCTTGATAACAGCATGGTACAAATACAAATAGTTACATCAACCTCTCTGGCATGTAGTATGAAGAAATATTCGCCGTCTGGATTCAGTATGGTCGTAGTATGAAGAAGTGATCACTGCATGGATTCAGTATGGATTCTTTCCGTACCGATTGCTAACTAACAAGTGCATTGCATTGCTAGGAAGAATTAAACCCTAAACCCTCAACCCTAAACCCTAAACTCTCAACCCTCAACTCTAAACCCTAAACCCTCAACACTAAACCCTCAACCCTCAACACTAAACCCTAAACCCTCAACACTAAACCCTCAACCCTCTGTGGCATCTTAGACTGAAGCAGCCGGAAAGTGCTTGTAGAATGCAGCAAACTGGGTGAAACGCAGGCCCCAGGCTTGAAGGATCAGACGGTTTAGGGTTTAGGGCTTAGGCTTTTTTTAGGGTGTAGGGTTTATTTTTAGGGTTTAGGGTTTATTCTTAGGGCTTAGGGTTTATTTTTCGGGTTTAGGGTTTTAGGGTTTATTTTTGGGGTCTGGGTTTATTTTTGGGGTCTGGGTTTATTTTTGGGCTTTAGGGTGTATTTTTGGGGTTTACGGTTTTAGTGTTTGTTTTTAAGGTTTAGGGTTTATTTTTAGGGTTTTGGGTTTTCAGGGTTTAGACAAAAACACAACTGACGAACATGCATACTGATACAGGTACCAGCAACACAACGGCAAGCAGACAGCCAGAATCATGGTTGATGTACTCCTTAAACCCTAAACCCTGAAAACCCTGATCCTTAAACCCTGAACTGAAAATCCTGAACCTTAAACCCTAAACCCTGCGTGACGTTGAAGCAAAAGGCGGCAACCGGCCATTTCGACCCCAAACCCTAAACCCCTAAACACTAAACCCTAAACCCTAAACCCTAAACCCAGAACCCTAAACCCAAAGGCCTGTGCACCCTCTTCAGCTGCGAGGTTGGTAATGACCAAGGGCCTCCAGGGTTGGCACGGTTCAGGGTTTAGGGGTTTAGGGGTTTAGGGTTTAGGGTTTAGAGGTTCAGAGTTCTGGGGTTTAGGGTTTAGGGTTTAGAGGTTCAGGGTTTAGGGGTTTAGGGTTTAGGGGTTTTGGATTTAGGGTTTAGAGGTTTAGGGCTCAGGTCTTTAGGGTTAAAGGGTTTAGGATTACCGTTTAGGGCTTAGGGTTGCAGGTTAAAGGCTGTGGGTTCAGGGTTACCGGTTTTAGGTTTAGGGTTACAGGCTTAGGGTTTAAGGTTTTTAGGGTTAGAGGCATTGGGTTTAGGGTTAAAGGCCTAGGGCTTGTAAGACATTAAAGGACGATTTAAGCTTTACGGTTAAAGGCATTGGGTTTAGGG